AGGCTGATGGTTTGGGAGCCTGTGCTTTCATAAAACAGTCTTACGCTGGGCAGGGATGGATAGCCGGCCGCGTGCATCCTTAACTCTCCTGAGATCCACCCAGGCCCTCCGGAGCCACCGAGTCACATGGAGCCCACCCTCTGAGGGTGTTTATATCCCTCTGCTTTGATTACAGCTGATTTGTGAATTTACAATGTGTTTGAATTTCACTGGGCTTACATTTCACAACGGAGAGTAAGGTTTAGTCAATACTTTCCTTTGCTAAGGGCAACGATTCGGGCGTAAGAAGGCTTTCCCCAAACAGACGCCATCTTTAAAAACCTCTAGGAGGCCAAGTGTTAAACAAAAGCATAACCTGAGACTTTTTCTCTTGATTCCCTATTTTGGGCATTTGCTGTTTGCTTTGCAATTGCACGAGCAAGTGTCCCCGTACACATGCGCCTGCATGCGTGCAAGCGTGTGCGCGCACAGTGGAGCACTGCCCCGGGCACGAGGACTCCTAATGGCCAAGGAGAGCAGCGCCAGCATTGGCATGGGCGAAGGGTCAACAGTGTGGACAGGATTTTCTGGACAGGTCCGTGGGATAAAATACCTACCAGCTGCCGGAGTTAACTACCAAAAGAGACAAATGAGAAAAGCGGTACACCCCAAACACACCTAGCATTGTACTCCCTGTGTGCAGGGAGTCTGTCTGCCTGTCTGTTATGTCTGTCTGTCTGCCAGGCTCCCCGGAGGTCAGTCTTGGGTGAGATGAGGAACAGTGGAAGGTACTTACACTCACAGGTTGGAAAAATTCAAATTTCTGCTCTGGACTCCCATGCTGTTTTGTCACTATCTTGTTGCATTGACCTGAGAAAAACAATTGCCTCTCTCTGGGCCTCAGTTTCCCCATCTGTGAAATGGGAGTTTCAATTAGGTGACATCTCAGATGCATTCTAGTTTCAAAGTCATGGGAAATCACTACAGCAGGTTTTTCGCCCCTGTGAGGCCTGGCGTCACTCTAAATATCTGACGAAAATACGGGCCTCCTCTCCAGAAATGCATACACAGAGGCTCATGAGCACAGAGAAGTTTATGCCCGGAGTGACGGAGGATCCGGAGAAGCCCTGAAGCCTGTCGTGGACGAGGCGTTTAAACACTAAGCTTTAGGAGAGAGCTCTGAAGACAACCTCTCAGGAAGAGAAGCGAAAGAGACAGCAGCTGGGAAAGTTCAGAAATCTAAAATTCTAGTTTAGAAATAAATACAGTTTTCTTGCTGTGAGCTTTGAAAACTTGAGCTAGGAATCTGTCTAATTCCTCTAACACTAAGACAAGATGTTAAAGCAAATCCACGGCTGTGTTAGGCTACGCAAGCTCTGTGTGGGTCAGTGCAAATGCGGATCAGGTTGGGACAGACCAGGTATTGGAGCGTCCAGGCCGGCGGTAACGAGCTGAGCATTTTCCCGGGTGTCCTTACGTGTTCCAGAGGAGCAGGCCAGCTGGCTGCAGACCAAATCCAATTTTCACATTGCTGTGAGATAGTGCCGGGCACTCGGGTCTCATCAGCCCCGTGTCAGAGGGACCGAGGCGCCACAGCATGGCTGAATGACTCGCTTTCAATTCATTTCACCAAAAACAGCACGAATCAGCTAAGAATCAGAGCACTTAATGACTCAGAGCAGAGATACAAATCGGGAGTCAACACTCGTCCTGAATACAGTCTAGCTGAAAAGAGAGTACAACACAGAATTCTCCACATTGGATGCTACTGCTGCTTTCCAAAAGGAAAACTCCGTGCGTGTGTGTGTGTGTGTGTGTGTGTGTGTACGCACACGCATGTACTCACAGCTTTAAACAACACTGCCCATTCTAGGAAAAGGGGAAAGAAGAAATAGCAACCCAAAACTTGTATTTTATTTAGAGACAAAATGCATGAATAATTGTCAAACTTATAGCTGAAATAATGATTGTAAAAGAGTTATTTATTCCCTAGTCTATTTCCAGAGACCGTGCTTATCAGGAACTACCAACCACCTCTTTGCCCATCTCTCAGGGTGGTGTGTCAGGCCTGGCTCGAATACCGTTTTTCCAAGGAACGTTCTGGAGTTTGTAGCTACTAGTACCTCTCTATTCAGCAATGATGCCGTTCCGCACTGCATGTCCCCACTAAACTGTAGCAACAACTTACAGACCAAGAAGCTGTTCCTTGGTGTAGCCCACAACATCTAGTGTTAGGCTTGTCACACAGATGCTCATCAAACATTAATTGTTTGATACATTAAATTAAAAGTGACTGCTCTGAGGCCACTGAATGTAACACAGTGGCAAGATCACTGGCTAAGAGGCAAAACACGGAGTCCCAATTCTGCCACTCGCTAGTTGCTGTAACTTAGAAACTTCTTTTAACTTCCCCCAACCTCACTCTCCTGGTCTGTAAAATCAAGAGTTTGAGTCAAATGTGGAATCCAAGTCCTGTTTGGCTTTACGCTTTGACATAAGCTCGTTACTCAAGAACCCACCTTCAGAAAGGACTCCCCTAAGTTCCTGCTCATCCCGGAATGTTCTTTAATCCAACAGGATACAAAGAAATAGACAATTCTTCAGGCTTACAGCACTGGGTCGGATTTATGGAAGCGGTTTCCCTATTTCTGAATGGCTTCTGCCTCATATGGGCCCTGCAACCTGTTCTGGAGGCTGCCTACATCTTAAAGCCCCTTTAAGATGGTGTCATCTGAGGACTGCACTTGAAGAAGAACCTGTGCTTATCAAAGCCCACCAGGGAGTGAACTGGGTTTCGCAAGGGGAAGCGTGTGGAGAACATTGGAGCAACTGGAACCAGGACCCTGGGGTGTGGGGTGGAGATGCCGGCCTGCTTCCCTGCACCCACCTGGAAGCTGCTGACAGGAGAAGAAGGAAGGTAGAAAGAGGGGAGGGAAGGGAGGCAGGTGGTCAACCTCAGGAACCCTCTTCTTTCCCAAGGTCCAACAATCCTCCCCAAGCCAGAGCAAGGAGCCTTGGTGGGAAATTAGCACTTAAAGAGGCAACATGGTCTGTCCTGAAAGGGAGGTCAGCTGTGAACCCTCAGGAGCCATCTCCTGTGGACCTCTTGTGGTCCTGCTCTCTGGCTCTTGGACCTCAGGGCCTCTGACTCCCCTCCACCCTCACACACCCCACCCTACCAGGCCCAGCTGCCCAGTGCCTCTCATGTCTCCAATGTCCACTGTCGCTCTCACCCCATTGCAAGATGAGTATCTCTATCGATTTCCATCTCCCCTACTGGAATGAAGGTTCCTTGAGGCTGAGTGTGCATCCAATTGGTCTGTACTTTCAGTGGTTAGTATACAATTGGCACATAATAAATACTTAAAGAAAGACTAATTGAATGAATGAAGGAAGGAAGGAATGAGCAAGCCTGGGAAGGTGGGATGAATACTTCCTGAGAACCAGACCAAGTGACAATGGGACTCACAGAGTGTCCAGGAGATATTGTTGGAATCACAAGGGGGTCTCGGGCTAGGTCCAGTTGCCCATTATTGAGACAAAGAGGATTGCCAAGGAAGAAAGGAATTTTTTTTTTTTGAGACAGAGTCTCACTGTGTTGCCCTGGCTAGAGTGCCATGGCATCATCCTAGCTCACAGCAACCTCAAACTCCTGGGCTCAA